AAGTCCCGCCCCTGACGACTTCTCGGCCCCGCCCAAGCCCCGCCCCCGGATGTCATCGGCTTCGCTCGCGTTCCGTCACGTGTCCCGTTCCCGCGCGTTTCTGGCCTTGCTCCAGCTGCCTCGTCTTCGTGCCGCCCCTTTGGGCCGCGGTGCTGTCTTCCAGCGCCCTCCTTCCGGAGGCTCGGATAGCGCTGGGATACTAGGACTCCTCGGGCTTACGTCGCCTCCCCCTGGGCAGAGTGCTCTTGCTTTACCCACCGCCCTGGTCGGTTCCTGGACCCGCGTCTTGAGTCCAAATGTTGTAACTAGAAACCGACTTTCCCGTAGGAAACATTGTTATCAACGGGGGATTGGTTCCTGAACCCGATCAGTGAAGCCTGATACTACGTTCAAACAGGTTTATCTTAAACCGGTTTATGAGTGCTGAACGTCTGTTCTGTTGAGGGTTTAAACCAGTTCCAGGTCACTTTCGTGTCACATCTGTCCCTAGCCTAAAAGAAAGAAACTGGGCCCTAACGCTTCTACGTCACTAGTGTTTCACAGGCTGCTTGCCCCACCTCCGCAAAACTTCTGCAGCAGAAATAAAAAGAGCTCAAGAGCTATTTAATGGTATTTTTTAACACTATACTATTTTTCAGTCTGGTGTTTGTACAGAGTGAGGGATCACTTTGGGCTAATTATCCTGTACTTGAGTGGCATGACAGATCTGAAATACGCTTTGAAGTATTTTTTTTTAAGAGCTTGTGACTAGGATAAGTCTGTTTTATTGACTTGCCTTTCAGCCGGAACAGCTGCAGAAAGAAGAAATTATTGAGAGGAAAGAATACAGAACACGAACAGGGTAGTTCTAACCAATTATTCACAATTTTGAATGCTGTCAGCTAGTACAGGAAACCCTCACTATTCATGGGTTCAGCATTCACTGTTTCAAATATTCGCAAATGCTAAACTCACATTTTAAATGCACTTCATACACTTACAGGAGCTCCTCAGATGCTCTGTGCTTGCTGCCCCAAGCTCCTGCCCCTGCACTTCCGCCGGAGCTGTGGCTCCTCTCCCCAGCCGTCGGGGGCACTGCGTTCATGAGCGGATATCTTATTCATGGATTTCACCATTCACGGGGGATACAAGACTATATCCCCCGCAAATGACAAGGTTCACCTGTAATATATTTCCTCATACTTGACCTTTTCGTACTCCATTCCACTTGAACTAAGTCTTAACGGTACAGTATAATTTACTAGCTCCCTAAGTCATTTCTCTATCCTTCCTTGATTAAAAAAATAATGCTATTAAAAAATCAGCATCTGAAAAGTGAACCAAGAGTGTCTGCACCCATCCACATCTGCTGTACCTTCCACTAGTGAGCCTGTTTTGTGTTTGTCTGGAAGCCCATCAAGGAAGAGTTGGGAGGCCTGATTTTTTTAATGATTTACACTTTGGTTTTAATTCTTGGTCCTTTGTCCAGCTCTTTCACTTGTGCAGCAAAAAGCAGCCCAAAACATCCCTGAATGGACAGCCATAAATTCCATCCAACAAAAGGGAACCGTTGAGTGATAGAAAACTGGCACAGAGCATCTCAGATGGAAAGAGAGAGCCTGGGGCATGGCTTGGGTGAGGCTGGAACACTCACGATTTTGTCCAATGCTTTGCTAACACAACCGGCTCAATGGGATCACTGCCACTGGTGTAATTCAACAATCCTGAAGCTGATCTAATTTACACAACACGTAGGGGGTGCACATGTACCCCCTGACGGCGTTGACCTGCTGTCAACCAGCATTCCTGGGCGGGGGGGGGCAGGCAAAAGCGCTGTTGCTCCCCCTGAGAGCACCAGCCAGGGAGTGTGCCAGGAGAAGTGGTCCCCCTGTGGCTGATCCCACTGACCCGGAAGTGCCAGCAGCATCCCCAGATGTGCCAGTGGTGCGCTGCTGCCAGTTGCGGGTCAGCAGAATTGGCCACCATAAGGGGACCCTACCCCCGGTCAGCAGGATTGGCCACGGTGGGGCCCTGGCCTGTGGGATCAGCTGTGGTGAGACCCTGCCCTCCACCCCCACCTCCAGTCACTGACTGTTCAGTCAGAGGGGGCAAGTGCCCCCCTGACTCAGGAGGCACCAGTCGCCCACGCATGAAAGCAAAAATAATTTCTGAGATTGAAAGGTCATTTAGAACTACCTGCTCTCTCTCCCTCCTTAGCAGCACCAACCAGTAATTCATCTCTACTCAGTGTTCAGCCCAGTGCAGAGTCTGTCATCTATACCTCTGCAAAGTAGGAAAAACATGCTACCATTCTGGTTTGGCAACATTTTCTACCTCTTCTGACTCAGCTCAGGTGTACACAAAGTGTAAGGCAGTGGAGCCTCAGGCTCAAGTAACACCGTACTCTTTTCAGCGTGCTAGGAAGTAAGCTGCAGGAAGGGAAGCATGAGACTCGATTGATGATCCAAAGACTACAGACTCTGCAGGTGGCCAGAGTGAGAATGTCAATGAACTACGTGAAGACGGATCTAATAATGGTTTGATTCTGTATCTTTTCTCATTCAAGATTAGTTCTCTGTATAATAAATAGACTTCCTTTGTTCTACAGCTAGTGTAAGAAATGCCCTTCGTTCTACTGCTATTAGTGGATAGTGCACAGTTGTCCTAACTTCATATGTACGCACAAGGTAAAGGGGACTTAATTCAAATGTGAATCTGGCTTCCAAACCTCCAACCTCCTTCAGACACCTCTCATATTCATGGAATGGCTTTAACAGTATAGTCAAGGGTCTTCGAGCAAGTATTACTACATATGGCTAAGCTTTAGCTTGATTGCTTTGTTTATGCAAAGACCAAGGCTCAATTTACTTTATGATAGCTTTGTTTATATCGTGGATGAAGACAAAGGAAGTCCATTATTTTTTCCAAGGCTACACCTAGTTGTTTGGTATGACTGGTCCTGCTGGTTGTGGGAAAAGCACTGTTAAAACTACATAGCATTCAAGAGGCCACCTTTAAAATTATTGACTTCTCATGACTCCTGCCTACCTGTTTGTGATGAGCTTTACCAGCTTTATGGCAGTGAGCCCCTTAGTGCTCTGCTCCAATACAAAGCATCTCAACAGACACACGATTATAAATACTTAAGTACAGATGAATGACAAAATTAGGAACTTGAGTAAAAGACAATCAGTTTAATTAATGAACTCATGACATCATAGTTAAAAGCAAGTAGTCTGTAATCATTGCTCTTCAGCAACTCTTTTTATTACTCTTTCCCACGCAATATTACCATGCATTTTATCACACTGAGTAATGTGTCCCTTAAGAAGCATCTAACATCAGTAGACGTACTCAGTATAAGGGTGATGGGAACCTAGTCCAAATCAGTGTCAGAATTTCTGTTTTCATAAAAGAAACCTGCCCCAATTACAACATTAAAAAAACTAAGTAACATATGTACACCCCCTCTCACCAGCAAAAGAACTATTCTGTGAGCCTTAGTCTTCCTTTGCTTAGAAAGATGTATTATGACTTAATTTCTGAACCTTCCAGACAGCGAGTGGGTATCAGGGCCGTTCTCAAATGGGGTAACCATAACAGCTAAAAAGTGGTAGAAGATGGGTGTACCCCTGTATACTGTAGGTGTGTGGAGATGAGATGCTAGGAGACATGCTTCCAGGTGAGAAGGATGTTATCTTTGCACACAACTTCACAAAGCCAAGAACCAACTCTGTTTCTGGGAGGCAATGGCATTTTACATAGTTGAGATGTTGAAATCCTTCCTGGGAAACGAGAAGGAGAATCATAATACATCTTTTAGATAGCAAAATAAACAGTCATGAATGCTGATGAGCAATCCTTGCCCATTAGTAAAACATCTTGAGAAATGGTCTATGAGCTGCCTATATTTTATGCAGCTGGAGGCTTTATAAGTGAAAAATAATATTTTAAGGCCATAAGAAACAATTAGGATCAGCTAGTGTGACCTCTTACATAACACAAGCTACAGAAATACATGTTAATTTTGGCATTCCCACTCATAATGGCCATCTGAACTACAGCATGTATTTTAGAAAGGCATCTGGGTAGGAGACTGTATAAGATGACCACTATGACAGAAGATGTATGAATAGCACGTTTGCTAATTTGACTTTCATAAGAGCTAAATTATTATGACCATCAAAAGATGTGAAAGGAGGAGACTCATAGTTTTCTGGCCATAACTGCAACATGCTGAGTGTTTTTTGTCCTCAGTTCTACTGACCTCCTCATCTAACCCTACTAAAGATGTTGAATGTTCTGAAATATTCTCCGCCATGGATTCTGTCAGTGAAATCTGAGGAAACAACCTGTTGCATCATTGCTCTTGTATGACAGAGCATTCCTGAGTATACTGGGTTAATGCAAGGGCAATGTTTTTCAGAGTTAGATACAGCGGATGTGATAATCTGCATTGAACTGTTCCTTTGCAGCTGGCTAGGACATTTAGTGCAGCCTGAAACTGGTTTGAACCAATCCAGGAAAGATTACTCAGCATAAAATCTATTCCCTGGTATCACTAAATTCTTATGCCACTCTTTTCATACTGCTGGCTTAGCAAGAAAAAGGGGAAGAGGCCCAAAGGAAAAGGTTTTGTCCACGGCCTTCCTGCTCTCCCAGTTCTTGTTGTGTTTTGGGTTTCTTGTGCCCACTTGCACCCTATCAAAACCTCACAGCTGCTTTCAAATGTCTCTTGGGGACCAGACTTGCACACAGCAATAAT